AAATTCTTCTATTGTGACACATTTTAATGTTACTGAATTTGCTTATTGTGAAACGTCTCTCCACTTTTTTTGCTTTGTAAGTAAATATAGATTACAATAATAAATAGATTTATAAGACAAAATAGACTGTACTGAGATCCATATGCATCATACTCCAAATATTAGCCTTTGGATATTATGTGTCCCATAGTATCCCACCAGTGAACAAATACCCTTTTACTCAAATTGTCAGCTTTGAGTTTTGTATGTGTTCTGGCTTATAACATTTCCTCTTCCTGTGCTATTTATAATGAAAATGGTTGCTAGTTAAAATTGTGCATTAAATCACTTATTTATATTTCATGTTACCAGAATTTGAGGGGGACTTTTGAGAGGAAAATAATGTTTTTAAATGGAAAGAGAGTAAAAATATTTTAAAGGAACACAAAACTCAAGACAGAACCATGAAAATCTGGATCCAGAACTCTGTCATATGTGTATATATTTCTATCCTGATCTTTACACTTGTCCTCAGAAATAAGAGTTCTCTTGAGAGCCAATTTTATCATAAAGAAATATGAGTTAATTACTGAAATAAATCATCAAATATTTTGAACTTTATATTGAGTATCTTTTGTACTTTCTGTGAGGAGCACCCCACAGGTGCAACATATAATTTCAATCCTTTCCTGAATGATGATGGGCAGAATGCCTCTCCCTTTTCTGGGAGCCTACACATGCCATTTGTTGTAATTTCCCATAGTTTTTTTCAGAAACGTCACATGGGGAAAAGGATAAATATTAGGATTTTTCTTTCCCTGAAGTATATGCAGGTGAATGACCCCTAAGTTTTCCATAGCAAATAGGTGTGGATAAACCTTTGGTGAATTTGAAGCCATCCTGATTTGCATAAAAAAACCCCCTGAAGCACGTTAGTCCTTTATTCTTAAATCTGGGTTTAGGAATTCACAAGAGACTGTTAGTATATCCTACATTGGTGTTTCTCAAAATGTAGTGCAAGAGCCATCTGGATTGAAATTACCCTTGGTGGTTTTTTTTTTATATCATCTCAGATCTATGGATTCAAAATTTTGTAGATCAATGGGAAGAGGGGAAGGATCTGAATTTTGTAAGTTCCCTATGTTATGAATATTCAAGTTGGGGAACCACGGTTTTACATCATAATGCCTAACTCATGGCATGCATGTCTCCACTTCTGTATTGCACATTCACTATGGACATTACTAATTGATCACAGTATTTGTTCCTACAGGACTAATGTAAAGCCACGCAATGATACTCAGCACAGTGCCTCGGCAGCTGGTTGACTCGACAGGTAGAATAGCCTCTCCTGAAGCTGTTCTATATAGACAGTGTTCTTAGGCACTGTTAGAATAACACAGTTAAGAATTTGGAGATAAACACTGATATTCTTTAATTTGCAAATAGATGTCAGAAAATTTTGCACAAAATATTGAATATAAGGCTTAGAGTCAAGTAGAAAGCAAGTCTGAATTCATAAAGGTGTCAACTCTGGAAACCATATTTATAATAACAAAAAGTAATCAATAATGGTAGAAAACATGAAAAGAAGATACAATTTTTCAAAGGGCATAATAGAATGAGGCCATTAAACAACCATTTATGATTACACTTAGTAGTTTCTGAAAGCTTAAATGTGCATAGTATAAATTACGCATATTATGACCTAAAATACCCAGAAGAAGATAAGGCATTTTTCATATATTTTGTTGAAGGCAGCTTGTGATATGTTTTAGAAAGTTCCCCAGCTAAGGAAGTTAAAATGAAATAAGTGCATGAAATATAAGTTCTTAGCTAACTGATAAAATTAACAAATACTTTTCAGTCTTGGGATTTCAGATACTCATATTTATAATCCATATTAACTTTGTTTTATTCATCTATTACAATACTATTTATTAAAGACATTAGTATAGTCAATATTTACACATTATCTTGTCATCATACCCTAGTTATAAAATCAAACTTTGTAATATGACTGTTTTCTATGTAGTGAATTTAAAATTAGATGAGGAGATTGCCAGATAATTCATATAAAATCACATATTTCAATTTTTATTAAAGGCCTTTAATAAATAGGTTGAGGGTGATAATTTCTGAAATAGTAAATCAAAATATAAAAAATATATATTGATTGATTTTTTTCCCATAACTGCAGAGGCTAGAACCTGTAAATATTCAGTTTCTTACTCATATATTTTAAAAACAATGACTTATGAGTTTTCTAATGCAAATAAATCTTTTTACAGAAATAATTTTGGCCATTTCTAAAAAAAAATATTTACCATATTAACATTAACACAGAAGCATGAAATCTAGTTAATTTTTATGAATTTTTAAAACACAATCATGTGGAAGTCTGATGAACAATTTTAAAAAATTACCTCACTTTCTATTTAAAATTAATGAAATCAATTGTTTTATGTAAATATTTTGACCTGATAAACTATGGAGACAGTTTTACAGGTATTCATTAAGTGAATTGCTGTGACAAACATACCATCAATTTTATGGCCAAATTAAAGCAACTTCTACCACATCAATTCAAAAGTTGCTCTTTTCCTTACTGGAATCCTTGGAACAAGCACTGGACTTGGAGCCAGGAGATATGACTCCCAGTCTTGGCTTATATTTAGTTAATCATGATTATAAAGGAAAATCATATGGTTAAGGATAGTTGGACATAATTAATTGCTCATGTTGTGATCTTATGAACATCTGGGGAAACACTTATTACTTACATGTAAGTATTCATGTTAATGGGAAGGAAGAACTTGAAAAAGATTGTTAAAATAAAGGCACAAACTTTTAAAAATGACTATACCACATATTTGCAGTATGAGCATTCAACTCTTACATTGACAATAATAAAGATCTTTGTCTCCCTTGATTTTGTAAGCCATTACATCGAGGACAACAATTGTGTTTCATCTAAAAAGCAATCTAAAGTAGGAAATTACACTGAGTGCTTCTATATATAGGCTTTAATTATAACTTCTAAAAGGAAACATTTTAACTGTCCTTGTTTAACAAATTCCAGAATATTTGACTCTCCTTAAACGTTACTCTAAAAATAACATGGAATTGTTTGGGAAACACTACTTTAAAAGCAATTAATTTCTTACCAAATAACTATAACTATAGCTAATTGTAAATAGAATATAATAGTGTGTTGTAAGTATTTTGCTAACTTTTTACATGACACCTTTACAGAAAACATGACAACTTCTATGCCCCTATTTTTAGTTTGATATAATGTCTAAAATTCTAAGGACGTTTGACCAATGATTATATGATGGCTTGATAGGTCATGATAACCTAACTGTATTAGAAAGTAGACCTCTTTTCATAATTTACAATGCAAGCACTTGTGATTTATTTAGCTGTACTAATGTTTTCTATTTAAATATGTTAAGTAGTTAAAGCTTACCTATATCCGTGTACTAACATAAGTTTTTGAGTAAGAATAACTTTTATAATAACTTTAATCTTTTGTAATTTTTTAGTTTCTTTATTTTTAATTATTCTAATTTACTGCTATATTATCATGAATATTCTTCAGTTTTTCCCACCTCTACTTCATTTCTTAAAATTATACAATCATACACTTTTTTTATCCCAATAACTGAGAGGATATGTAATAGTTTAAATTTTATTCAGCCAGATTATAAAGGAGGTAGGAGAGGATTTGCAATGTAGCTTGATTTTGTCTTTGTTTAATCTCCTACTGCTTTGTTTGTTGTTGTTAAATACAGTAGTTAATTTTGTCTTATTTCAGGACTGCTGATCTTCTGTTGAATTGTATTGAAAAGCTAGGGGTAAAGAGTTTACAAACCTCAATTAATTAATACTATGATAAGTTCTCTGAACTGTTGCAGATTACATTAGCAGAAATGAATTAATTAATTTATTACTAAAATAGAGTTGTAAAAAAATAAATGTGGAAGAGAACACTGCCTGTGGTATTGGATTTAAGAATTTCTAAGGCTCCTACTATTCATTGACACATGGCAAGGAAATTTCCTTGAAATCAACTTCTTCCAGTTGGTTCTCCAGAATTTTCATGGGTAGTATTTATCAATTGCAAGACTGTGATATATCAAATATTAATGATAAATGAAAAAGAGAATCTCAGTCAGTGGATAGGTCTGTCTAAGCCAGCTCCAATTTTGGGGGTCATTAATTTACATAGAGAGTCAATATTTTTACTGTAGAATTCCACATGCTTAATGTGCATTTGAAACACATGTGCTTGGATGGAAATCTGTTGTTTTAAATTAAACATCCTGAGTTTACCCTCATATCTTCCTGATTCAGAGATACAGAGCACTACTATCAGAAGTAAGAAAATAGGTATGAAACTGTGACTACTTTGATAAATAGAAATTTTTAAGTCTTTGATGAAGAATTAATAAACTATTATATTATCAAAAATATTGATCCCATAGATAATGCATATGAGCAGAGAACATTAACAGATGATGAAATTTTCTGTTTGGTAGCGAAAGAAAGGAAAAAATCTTAAGAGGAATTTAAGAAAAATGTAAATGAATCTTATTTAAAATATTTGTGTATTTGTTATTTTTAGAAAACGAATGACTGAGGTAATTTTATGATAAAAATATGTCATATTTTTTCTCTTTTAAGTCACATAGTTATATAGAAGTTTATCTTAATATAAGAAATTCTTGTTATTAAATACATTTTCATCTTTACAATTCAAAGACTATTTCATGATATCCTATTTTTGTTAAGTAATGCTAGTTCTCCAAAAGTGTATATGTTCCAAAAGTGAATTTAAAATTCCAAGAGGATTCATTGCCTGACAATTCTGATTTTATGTTTTTGCCCTTTGTTGCTCATTAAAACTCCACTCTGATGACTGCTCAGGATTCTGAGAAGCAGTTAGTCTCCCAACTAGTGAAAGGCAAAATCTAGTGGCCTGCACTTCTGTTTGCCCTTAACTATTCAAATCTCAGATATTGACCAGTGGAACAAGGTAATTGAACAACTAGGAACGCCATGTCCGGAATTCATGAAGAAATTGCAACCCACAGTAAGAAACTATGTGGAGAATCGGCCCAAGTATGCCGGACTCACCTTCCCCAAGCTCTTTCCAGATTCCCTCTTCCCAGCGGATTCTGAGCACAATAAACTCAAAGGTAAGCCCATCAGGGACAACTTGAGAAACAATGTGTGGGTGATAGACAACATAAGCAAACAACAGAGATGCCTGTTTAACTTGAACTACTTCAATTTAAGGAGAGGTATTTCTTAAAAGACCTTTCATACAAAGGGCAAATGGCCCAGGATTGTAGAATTGTGTGGCTCTTCAGAGGGAAAAATAGTACTAAAGTTTGTGACCGTGACGAGCGTTAACTATTTCAGGGAGCTTATTTAGGGTCTTAAAATTATTTTGCAGTGTAACTATAGAAGGCCAATGTAATACACATTGATATCATTGTTTCAAATCTTCTTGTTACTTGGAAATGTTTTCAGCACAAGTTTTAATGTAAAACCTTGCAGGTGCATGTGTCTGAGTTTTATTTGTATTTTCAAGATTGCTTAGCTACCTTTTTTTTTTTCACTTTAAGAGTGACAAATGAGATACCTACACATTTTATATTCATATCAACATTTTCATTAATAAATAAGTTTGTACTACTGTATTCACAGTTATGAATGTTAGTAACAAACCTTATGATAATAAAGCTGGGGTAGTAATGCCTGAGTCACATAACTGAAGACAAGGATTAAATTTGGCAATGTATAAAGTATAATATAAACGATATCTTAATTCTTATTTTAATTTAGGACATTCCTGAGAAACTAATTTTGAAACACATTTGATTTTTGCACCCGTCCCTTAAAATCTGTGTGAACTTGAGCAAGTTATTTCATCTTTCTTTATGTTTTTTAACAAATGATGGTGGAAAATGTCTACCTTATAGAGTCATCGGAAGGATTAGTTAACTAAATATTTTGTCAAGCACTCAGAATACTGCCTGGCTCACAGACAATGCTCAATAACTGTAGCTAATAAACCCCAAAACTAATAAACATAATAAGTATAATTTAAAATGTGTCTATACAGTACCAAAAACAGAAAAAGGACACATACTTTGAAAATTTTACCTCAATTGTTTGGTGAGCAATTAATTTAATATAGACCTAACTTACAGACTTAGTTTATAGCTAATATAGACCAACATGAGACAGAGAAACTAAAATATGGTGCCTACTATTTTTCAGGATCTTATCATCGCCTTCAAATTTTCATCTGACGGGTTTTTTATGTGTAGCATTGTTTTTGTGTTTGTGATACTTAATGCATAATTGGGTTTCTTCCTTCAGCGGGCTCTCTGACTGTCAGCAGACTAAATTATGACTAAATCTATTGCTTTTTTGATCAACACTGCTTATATACAGATTGAAGAAGAGCTAAGTAGAGAATTATGTCTCTATGATGCTAATTGATCTGTCAGGCACAAATAATCCCTTTGTATGTAGACACTTGTAGTGTAATGATATGGAGATGACAAGTCCTGAATAAATTATTTGAGATAATGACAGCACTTGTAGAAAAACTATGAAGTAAAATATCAACTATCCTTCAGGATACAATTCCAACGTTCTTGGGTTTATTTTTTGGCTTTTTAATCCAATTTGAGCCTCTATGATTGTATAATTTTTACAAATGATAAAATAGTTTACATATTTATTATTATTTAATTATAATTTTAATATAAAAATGGCAAATTATAAAGAATTAAAGAAATAATCAAAGGGAACAAGTTATTGTACTGTTACTAAAACCAGAGCATAAGACATTTGCTTGCAAATGAAAGAATGAAAGTTGAGGATTGAAACCGTTTCTTCTTCCTCATTTTATTTCCTACAAATAGTACTGATGATTGTTTCTTAGTGAGATGATTTGGTATTGCCTTAGTGCATGCCTCTATTTATGAAGAGCCAACCTCAACTCCCACCCTTTCTAAGAGAAGAAACATAGGTGGATTTGATGAGAGAATCTGTTCTAGTGGGGTGCGTGAATCTGGGTATAAAATCAGTTTACAAATCAAAGAAATCTTTGAACTAATAAAGTAAATAAATACAGTCCTGTTGGACCATTAAGGAGCCATTGACATGAAAATGATTAAATATTGAAAATGAATATAAGTATATCAGTACTTCTGTCATTGCTGTGAGCTTTAGAATATCAGTTTGGAAGTAGCAGAAATTAAATCTCTAAAATCCCCAGAAAAATGATTAATAGAAATTAAAAAAAAATTAGTCTTCTAGACTAACTAATGATTGGGGGGGGATAGATATATGAATAAGTAATTAAATAAATATATAAAAAATTTATGAATTAAAATGTAACCACACAAGAAAATACCATCATAGGACATTTGGAAGAAATACATTGCTACATTTTATGATCAAAATTATTAAAAGATATATAAACAAGATAGAGAGAATAATATATTAATAAGAGTAAATGCCTTTATATTGTGGGGACGGTTGTTTTTCCCTGACTTTATATTTTATGTAATTTTTAAATTTTCTATAATTAACTCATATATCCTTAATAGTCAGAAAAATTGATAAAATAAATATTGTCACATATCTATGGATTCAAACACATTGCCTTTTCCTAATTTAGCAAACCAACTTAGGTTTTGTTCTCCTTAATATGAAGTTTTACCATATATTTGGAACAAGTTGAATATTCTTACCATAAAATTTCAAATTAGTTTGGAACTGCATTTTATGTAAAATTATATATATTTTTAGAGATTAAAAATTGAGTGTCCTTTAGTGATGTTACTAAATAAATACGCTTAATGTTTATCACTATATAATATATATTTTTTGTATTTCTGGTACCTCACATTGTACCTGACACGCAGTGAACATTTAGTATCTTATAAATTGAACCAGATTGATCGCCTACATTAGTTTGGTTACTAAATATGGTGGATTCTTTTTCTCAAATCTGCCCCCTCCACTCTGTCCTTAAAGCTTCTGCTCCCATTAAAGCCCTCATCGCCTGTTTCTCCAAACCTCAAAAATGTCACTCCTGACCCCCTGCTCCCTCTACACACTGCTTTAGCTCTCTTTCCAGCTCAGAAAATCTTTTAAAATGAGCAGTCTACACACACTTCATCGGCTTCTTTTTAAAAAAACTTTATTCTTTTAAATTTATTTTTAATTATGTGAGCAATACATGTACATATTCTCCCCTCCTCAGAAGTAACCAGTATTTTCAGTTTGTTGATTATCTTTGTAGACCTTTTCTATGCATTCATATATGTAAATAAAGAGAGGGAAATGCTTGTTTTGTTGAGAAAGGGCAGATTTACACAAATGGCACCATGATCTATGATCATGGTGCAACTTCCTTTTTTGTTCACTTAACAACATGCCCATGTGAGTACCTTATATTTTTAAACTGCCAAATACAATTTGAAGGTACCATAGCTCATCTGGTTGCCTATAGGTGGAAATGTAGACTGTTTTAAATTTTCTTTATCCCATAGCCAGTGCTGTGGTGAACATCCCTTCTGTATGCTTTACATGCACATGTGTAATTGTTTCTCTAGGCTGTATACCAAAAAGGGAACTGCTGAGTCATAAGGTAATCACATTTAAAATTTTGATGGATACTGCCAAATTTAGCCTCTAAAAAAAGCTGCATCAATTTACATTCTCATGACATGAATGAAATTACCTGGTGTTAGTGGATATTATACAACGCCTTTGATTTTTGCAAATCTGATGGGTAAAAAATATCTCATTGTTTCATTTTGCATTTTCCTAATCACTTGCTGAAGTTACCTGATACTTGGAAGGAAGTTGCTAGTTGACCTTTGTATTCTTAAATTCCTCTCCCTCCAACAAATTTCCTTGCCAAAATCAAAATTTTGCTAATCATTTTTTTCATTCATCATTTCAGCCAGCCAAGCCAGGGACTTGTTGTCAAAGATGCTAGTGATTGACCCAGCCAAAAGGATATCAGTGGATGATGCCTTACAGCATCCGTACATCAATGTCTGGTACGACCCTGCCGAAGTGGAGGCGGTAAGGCATAGGTTTATTTTACTTTCCTTCCATAAACAAATCATAGTAACTGGTATTCGGTGGTGAAAACTAAAAGACAATTGGAAGGCAAAAGAACACACAAAGGACATCCATGAAATTCCTAAGTCACAGAGTTATTACTTCCCCTCTAAAAGTTATTTTCTTCTACCTATATTTTAAATGCATTTTTTTTCTCCAGAATTTCCTATGAGAGATGGTGATTTAGTCCAACACACCTTAGCTGTCCATGCAACACTGCCATTTGGTTTTGTTAAACTGTGAACTTTACCAGTGTCTTCTCCTTTATGTTTAATCATCAGCCTCTCCTGATGCAAACTAAATAGCAGAAACCATAACAGAGGATAAGTTACTTTCCTTCTATTACCTCGACTAGATGTCTGCCATTAGTAAAGTGTGGTACTAAGAACATTTTGATTATAGAGCTCTTAACAGGCTATTGGTGACTTTGTGAAGCCTTGAATGAATGAGATGAGAAAAATTGGGTGTACCAATAAGGACATTATTTGAGGTTAATTCTAAATTGACTACCACAGTAAGATGTACCTCCATATTTTAAATCCAGACATAGCTTAAGAATCTCCTCAGAAACATAACTCTTATTTATTTATTTAGTTAGTTTACTCTTTTTCAGCCATTTAATATCTTTTCTCCAATCACTTTCTTATATCTTTTTCTCTCCTTTTCTCTGTGTGGAATCTGGGCTGTGCAGCACAAATTGGGTATTGTTGTCCATGTGTGTTTTATAGGCTTCTTGATAGAAATGTCCTTTTGTTCCTCTTTTAAATGTTACTATCAGCAGTGTTACCTTTTCCCAAAAACATAAAAAAATCTCTTCAAATCCTTAGAATATGTGTGCTAAACGATCTCATTTTCTTTTACATAATATCTTCAAATTGCTTTATTTAAATTGGTTCTTAATCTTCTACTTGAAATGTTTCTTTTGTTTTTTTGTGTGTGTGTCCCTCTCTGTACACTGAGTTATTCTTTTTTTTTCTTTTTTTCTTTTTTTGCGGAGCCATCCTGACACCTGTTGGCAGCTCAGCAGCAGCTCAGCTCGGGCCAGGAATCGAACTGGTTGACTCTGTTGCTCAGAGCTCTCACTCTTGAGGGAGCTCTTAACCAACTGAGCCACTTGGTCGGCCCTACACTGAGTTATTCTTGCTCAAGCATATTTTTGCTTTGTTTCAGCTTCCTTTCCTCTGCTTCATGTGTGCATGCCCATGTCAGAGACACTAGGTTCAAATTGACATAATTCTTATCCTTTCATTCTTTATCGGAGAAGTGACATCTGATAGATGGGAGTGAGGATTAGGTAGAATCGAATTTTATAGACATACTATTAAAAAAAGTTATTTTTCATAGTAACCCAATTCTTAAGCATTCGAAAATTTCAGCAAAAACAGTGATAAATGAGTCTCTCAATTGTAGAAATGGGTATACAGTCCTTGATGACATTTTCATAGCATCTACTCTCCTAAGCAGTTTTACAATGATTGAAATTTCAATTTGCTTCAAATTAATTTTCAGTCACTGGATTTGATTTTTACAAAATAAAATCCCTAAAATTAAATATTTTCAAGTATAATTATAATGCTTTTAAAACTAAAAAAGTAACCCTCTTACAACTTAAACATAGAATCTTTTCCAATCTCTCAATCTTGGGAAATACTTCCAAAGATGTTCTTAGAGTAGAATGAAGTAATGAAATAAGGAAGAGAAAGTATTTTATATATATATATATATATATATATATATATAT